TACTTAACATGATTATTTTATTCATTCCAACATTGGCGGCGGGTTGGTAGGAATTATCGAAATATTTATTATTAGAGTACGATTACACCACATATGTCAGTAGTCACAGTACCCCTCTAAGTCAACAGTGGAGACTCTTTGTTTCTCTGGAACAAAGTTACTAGGTTTCCCTATTTTTTTATTTTTTATTTTTTTGGTAGAATTCCCTATTTTTTGATTGACAAATGGTTTTAGGCTGTTTGGCAACAGTTTCTTCTTTTTTTTTTAATCTTCTTTTGGCAGCGGTTTTTTATAGGGTTGCTTGCTAGTTTATATTATAAGTAAAATTTTAAAAACTTTATCTTTTAAATTTTAAATATTTTGAAGGGAAAACTTTCATTTTTTTTTTTTTTAAATGGCAAATGCTTACACGCAAGTTTTGTAGAGAGACGTATGTTCACAGCACAGCATCGTTCTTTTGCTGGAAAAAGATAGTCGTTCGTCTCCCAACATCCATGCGCGTTGTCCAGTCAAAATCGGTCGTCTCCCCCTGGTCACTATCCATGCGTTGCACTCAATCACTAATCTTTTCCAAGGGTACCATTTAGTGGAATCGGAAAAGTAATGTCAGATGAAATTTCTTTTCATTTGATTGCAGTTAAACTTTTAGAGTTGACTCAGGTCTTTCTTTGGAAGTACCAATGAAAGAACATGGCACAAAGTAAGGTCTTTAATTCTTTGTTATTGTAATGACAATTTCTTTTCATTGTAGAAATTAAGCTTGATTAGGACTTTTAGAGTTGATTCAGTCTTTGTTTGGAGTCAAAGACTTTATATCCACGAATGAAGCGAACACCCCACAAGTGAGGGTTTTAATTTTTCCTCTCTTAGAAAGTAATTATGAAGTTGCCTACCATATAAAATTATAAATCTTTGCATATATATAGTCATTAATGACTTTTCTTTTAAGGGATCAAAGACAATAATAAAAAATAATAAAACTTTAATAATTTTTTTAAAAATAATCGGTATATATTTTGATTCGATATAATAAAACTTATCTGAGAAGTCTTACATTTTT